ATGAGTTCCCTTCTCCAAAGAGTATTTTGACTTGTTACTTTTCCAGGTGGTAAACCACCTCATGCTGATATAATTTCCAAAAGTAAATGAAGTTTATATAATTACTGAGGAGTTTTATAAATGATACAAATTAAGTACTTAACCAAAAATAAAATGTTTAGGAAGTGTAATGCAACTACGTTACTGATTGACCTCACATCAGAGTTTCCTTTTCTAGTTTTAGCTGGTATATTCTATTTAGGCTAATTAACTCATATGTTTTACATTTTAATATGACCATGACATACTACAAATGTATATAATTCCATTATATAGCCATAGTCATTTAAATATGTGGAAATGACTATTATGATAGGGCATTCATTGTATATTTTAATGTCTACTGACCATGATTCTAAAAATATCACTGTAAGTTGCTAATACTTTAAGAAAGACACTCAGGTGAGGAAAGCCATAGACAGAGTTGAATGGAGACTAGGAGGCATCTCTCACTCAGTGTGGAATTCTTCTGGAAAGAATGCCTGACACGAGGTTCTTTGAGACGGAAAACTCACAACATCAACAAAGGGCCTGATCTACTTGTTGTATAGTCATTCCTAATATTTATAAGTACATATATTCACATCCACACACATAAAAAGAAAATAGAGAAAATTAAATAGTTCCAATGATAACTAATGATTTGTAGTTTAAGTATGAAATTTAATTGTTCATGCAATCACTTTATTGAATCATAATTTAACTTACATTTTTATGTTCAGGAGTAGGAATCATCAGGTTCTGAAAAGGAAAGGAAATACATTCATTTTTAAAGCACTCTAGCACTCATAACTTTTAATAAAAAGCTTGCTAGTGATATGGTTATCAACTATATATACTAACATTCTTATAATTACATTAATAACAGATCTTTAAAAATTAATCACCACAAATGATTACCTATTCATTTTAAAGACTGTAGGAATCAAAAAGAAAATTACCCCATCGCCTATCAGCAGAGTTCGATGAGTGGAGAGCAGTGTCAAGGTCTCTGCCACCAGTCTATTCATGGGACTTTCTACAGCAATGACACAAACGTAGGCAGCTCCAAAAGCTAGCACACTCAAATGCAGAAGCATTCTCATGGTTCTGCAATGTTCAGCGTTTGCCTTGGGCAAAGTGCATGGTACGAGATTGCATCCCCAGACAATTTATTCTCTCTTTGAGGAAATGAATAATTTCTAACAATCAGATAGAGAATGCTTAATAATGGCATATCAGGAAAGTAAATGTTTCCAATGCCTTGTATCTTAACAAATAATTTTACTTTTATCTTTTAATAATAATAAAAATCTCTATTTTTCCCCCTTTAGAAACATTTCCTATTACAAAAGAAAATCTTAGGCTGACACATCATTGCCCCACATTTACATTTCTTAAAGTTCAGAAGATTGAATTTCCTCTTAAAAGATGTGTATAAAAAGGAGAAGTATAATATAAATCACTAAATAGGATTTTATGTTAAAATACGTAAATATTGGGAATGGTTTTTCTTATCAGGTCAGTTAAATTCTATCATGGTTGTAGCTGGATTGATCTGTCTTTAAAAGAATTGAAAGTACTGGTGGGAAGATGGTGATTAGAGCAGAGACCATCAAAACTTAGCAGGGTCAAATTGTGTTCATTGGGATCTCGATTAGGATCCTTTCTGTTGCCAGTGACCAAAAACCTAACCCAAACTGGTTGAAGCCAGACAGAGAATTTATTAGCTCATATAACCAAATGGTTGAGGGTGGAGGCTCCTTTATACCTTGCTTGCCTCAGTGACTCTTCCTTGCCTCCATTCTCAGGCAGCTCTCCCACTGTGGTCTCAAGGTGATGTCAAAACTCCTGGATCCATATGTATTCTGTTCATGAGCAGCAGGAGAAAGCAAATTGTGCTTTTCTGATTGCTCAATCAGAAGTCCTAGAATTTGGCCTCCTTGTGACAAGGGATCACATGTTCATCCTTGAACTGTGGCCAGGGGTATGGGATATATTGATTGGCTCTCCCTGGAGCTGGAGGTGGGCTTCATCTCATCCAAACTGCATACCTGAAAAATTAGGAGTCCTAGGTAGTACTAAGAGGGACGTGGATGCTGGGAAGGCAACCAATAAATATCCGTCACAGCCACATAACATATGTGCACGGCCTCTCCTTCACATCCCACAAAGGTGGAGGTGTCCTTTTGCACCCTGGGTGAACCACGTATGAATATGTGTAATCAGGGGAATCAGTATTCCTTAGGCTCAGACCTGTAATCCCAGAAGGGAGCAAATGAGACCCTCTTCTAGACCACACACTTCATTCTTCCCTGGCCTGAGCACACATAATAGAGGTGTAAGCCATTGTTTTTGATGGAGGGTTTCAGTGAGCATCCCAAAGTGGTTCTGTGTTGGTGACCTGGAAGCCCAACTTTAGGATTATCTTGAGCATCTAGGACAGATGGTACCAAACACAAATTACTATCTAGAACCCCTTCCCAAAGCTGGATAGAGTTCTGTGTGAGAAGCAGAGGCAGCAGGGAAGTAGACATGCCCTTTACATGCATGTAATCACAGCTCTGCATGGGTAGGATAAAAATAGTGGCAGCCTTCCTGTTCCATGTCTGGTTTTGTTTGTGCTAAAGTTTTGGACTCTTGGTTAGACATGTCTGATTTGAACACTTGAAAGACATTTTCCTTGAGACTGCAGGAGAGATACTGGCTCATTTCAGTAGTGAGGTAGGAATCACAATAGACTTGGATCAAGGTGATCTTAAAATGGTGCTCTCAGAACCAAAGCTGAGTTCTGGCAGGAGCCTTCTCTCCCCAGAGGATTTCATATGAGAGTTTGCTCTGGTTCTCCTTGGACTCCTTTGGGCTACACTGAGAAAGCGGGGGCTTAGATGAAAGTTTTAGAGGAATTGCCAAGTGACTTATTATTTTAGTACCTTAAATACACAATGTTCTGAGTTTTTAACTTCTATTATAGGGCTGCACAGGCAATCTAGGTGGTGGAGAATTGAGATACCACTGTATTAACTTTCATTAAGGAGGAGAAAACTCACCAACCACTTGCTGTTTTTAGGGGAGTCATACTGCCTGGCTATGAAAATGAGTGAAATGGGCAAGGCGTAACACAACAAAGATGGTGGGGCTACCGTAAACTGCATTAGGCACGACCTGTCTAAAGCTGGCAGGTGCTACTCAGTTCCAGCTGATTGTTGCCATGTGACACCCTGGGGCTTATGTTGCCAGATCATCCAATTTTTCAAAGAAGCCAGAAATCCTGATTATTATGTATAATCTCCTGATTTTTAAATGTTGGCAATTCATATTTTTAAAAACTGGTATAGGGTACCATTTTGCAGCCTCTGAGTTATAGTATAACTGTGGGTCCGTATTGGAGGGCTAGTTATTAAAAAAAGACCTCGTATTCAAAGTTACATTTCTTTTTAAAAATTTTAATGTGGTAAAATACACATAACATAAAATTTAACATCTTAACCATTTTTAAGTATACAGCTCAGTAGTGTTAAGTACATACACAATATTGTGTAACCCATCTCCAGAATTCTTTTCATCTTGTAAAACTGAAACTCTATACCTATTAACAACTCCCCGTTGCCCCCTTCCCCCAGCCCCTGGCAACCATACTTCTACTTTCTGTCTGTATGAATTTGACTACTCTAGGTAACTCATACAGTATTTGTATTGTTGTGACTAGTGTATTTCACTTAGCATAATATCTTCAAGTTTCTTCCGTGTTGTAGCATGTGACAGAATTTCCTGTAATATTCCATTGTATGAATATACCACATTTTGTTCATCCATTCATCCATCATTGGACATTTGGGTTGCTTCCATCTTTTGGCTATTGTGAATAATGCTGCTATGAACACGGGTGTACAAAATTATATTTCTTGTAATATTATCATAAGTCATTAACTTTTCTTCTATGAGTCTGATCTCCCCAACCTGATTGCAAACTCTCTCAGAGCAGGGACCATAAAATAACATATTTGAAAGAACTTTATTAATGTTAAACTCCAAACAAAAGTTAATGATTTTAATCTCCTGGGCAGGAGAATTCCAAGTATGTATGTAGATATTCCACCCTCAAGGAAGTGGAGCATAATCCCACTTATGTGTGGGATACACAGTGAGAGTACAGTACAGTATAGAAAAGAGTACATTATAGAAAGGAGATTATAAGAGGAGTAACTTTGCAATGGAGAAACCTGCCAAACCTCAGCCAGATGATCAAGGTCAGCATCCATCATGATGTCATGTTAATAGCATGTACCCTTAATATGATGTGATGAGAATGGCATTTTATCTCTGTCATCTTACTCCCCAAAATCCATAACCTCTATCCAACCATGAGGAAAACATCCCATATACCCCAATTAAGGATAAAATACCTGACTAGTACTCCTTAAAACTGTCAAGGCCATCAAAACCAGGCAAAGTCTGAGAAACTGTCACAACCCAGAGGAGTCTAAGGAGACATGATGACTAAATGGAATGTGGTATCCTGGATAAGATCCAGGACAGAAAAAGGACAGTAGGTAAAACTAAGGAATCCCCCCTCCCCAAAACGTGGAGTCTAGTAATATGCCAATGTTGGTTCCTCAGCTATGACAAATGTAACACAGTAACGTGAACAATAGAGGAAACTGGGTACAGGGTACACAGGAACTCTCTATAATATTCTTGTAACTTTTCTGCAAATCTAAAATTATTTAAAATAAAAAGTTTATTAAAAATAACATTGCAAGTTGAAAAAAATAGTTTTTACTATTATTATTAAAAAGACTTGGTATCCATAAATATCATGCACTTGGGACCTTTTTTGTTTCACACTAGACTGTGAGCTCCTTGAGAATAAGGATTTTATTTAATTGATCTCTTTATCCTTGAGGACCAGACTATTGTAGGCACTCAATTAATGTTTGCTGAAAAAATAACTGAGTGAATAAGCAGGCACTTGGTTAGTTGAACAAATTAATGCTTATACTGTGGAAACTCAGGGAGTCTCTTCCTTGGGGCTGGGAGCCTGAAGTACATAATAGAAACAACTTTGGCAGGACTCCTGGAAAAAAAGATGGAGAAAAACTTTAAGGCTCAGCTACGGAGACCAAGCCAATGTAAACCACTATGGCATTTTTAAAAACCCACATTATTTTAGGAGACTAGAACAAAATTAGCAATCAGTATTCAGAATTTTTAAGAATTATTAGTAATTATATAATTTAGAAAAAGGACTTTGAATAGTGTTGAAAAGTTATATTAGTGGGTAACATCCATCCTTTTGCCCTAAAACCTTTATCTCTATAGTGGCTTCCAAATTGGCAACAAGTTTTTAAAAACTGATAACTGTGGTTTTTACTGTGTAGTCGTTCAAGGTCCAATGACTTTTCTGTGAACTGATTCTAATCAATCAACTGGGCATGATGCCACAAATTTGTCACAGTGACCTAATGTAAAATGATAGCATCTCTTTCTTTTCTTGATCCTATTCTAACCTCTATCCTTTCAATTCCCAAGCACATCTTTAAAATATTGGTTTTTATTGAATAAATAACATTATAGGAAAATAAATACAGAACTTCTCCTCAGCATAGCACCTATCAGTTTTTTGATGACCTCTTCCAATCTTTACTAACACAGAGACAGCTTTACCGAATTATAATCAATGAATATATCCAATTTGTGTTTATCTTTTTGCTTATTAATACTTCTCTTTTATATATCTACTTATTATTTTAAAGGTTACCTGCTACTAGATGCAACTGATGTGCCACAGTTTACTTTCCCATTTGGATTGTTTCTAGTATCCCACAGTTATAAACAATGCTACTAGAAAGCTCTTTGTATAATTTTTAAAAATATTTCCTTATGGTAAGGAACTCGTGTGGTCATTTTTATAGCCTTTGTTACATTTTACCAGATCACCCCTCTGAAAATATTCAATGCACAAAAAAATAAATCTCATGTTTTTACAGTGTTTTATAACTTATAAGGCACTTTCACAAAAATAACTTTGTTTAATCCTCGCATGTGAGATAGATTTCTTTCCCTGAAGGTTCTTTAGCACTCAGGTTTAATCTTTTTGCTAATGTAATGAGTGAAATGAACCCCAAAGGAAGGCATGATGCAAAAGGCAGCAGTAATCAAAGAGATTGATAAATATGATAATAAACCTAAATAAATAATGCTGGCTAAAAAAATATTTAGGGGGGCCGGCCCCGTGGCTTAGTGGTTAAGTGAGCGCGCTCCACTGCTGGCGACCCGGGTTCGGATCCCGGGCGCGCACCGACGCGCTGCTTCTCCGGCCATGCTGAGGCCGCGTCCCACATACAGCAACTAGAAGGATGTGCAGCTGTGACACACAACTATCTACTGGGGCTTTGGGGGGAAAAAATAAATAAATAAAATCTTTAAAAAAAAAAATTTAGGGGATTTCAAAACAATGAGGAACAAAAATACTAAATAATAATGTGGGAGATGGAGGCGGGGATCAGAGTTGGTTGGTGATTTTACGGTTCTTATACTGTTTGGAAGGATGCTAAACATACTAACTTGAGAACTCAAAATAGGCATGTGAAAAAACTAAGAGTAACCACTAAAATAACAGAAATAGAATGTATAACTTCCAAACCAGTAGATAAAACAAGGGAATAAAGGAAGCTCAATCAATCCAGAACCAGGAAAGGAGAAAAAGAAGCTAAGAAAAAGCACAGAAAAAGATATGAGAAATACGTCAAAGTTTATCAGGAATCACAGTATAATTGAAAACATTAAACTCATCTATCAAAAGGAAGATATTATAAAATTGTATCAAAAATCGTCTATTAGCTATTTTCAAGAATACACTTCATGCAAAATGACATGAAAAGGTTTAAAATCACGGGATAGAAAGATATAGTGGACAAATACTATCAAAAGAAAGCTGATATACCAATATCAGTATCAGAAAAAGACAGAATTTATGTCAGAAAGTATTATAAGAATAAAGAGATTTACTAATAGGTATAAGATAGTATCTCATAGTAGTTTTATTTTCCATTTCATTAATTATGATACAAGCAAAAGCAAACATTTTTCAGTAGTAGTTTACTGAAAACTGGGAACTTGACTGATTTGCCTTTTTCGTTCTTTTTATTTTAGGAATTAATCATTTTTATTGCAAGTCTTTTCCACCCCCCTCCTAGAGTTGTTATCTTAGTTTTATAGTTTCCTATCATTACAAAGTTGAAAATTTTTGTAATAGAATCTGGCTACCTTGTCATGTCCGTTTTTTCTCTTCAATTTGCTATTTTTTCCTAAAGTATTTTAAAGTAAATTGCAGAAAACATGACGTTCTATCACTAACACTTCTATATGCATCTCAAAAAAAGGATCATTTTCTTACAAAGCAAAATATTATCTCACCCAGTATAATGAAATTAACAATAATTATTTTTTTTAGCATTTAATTTCCAGTCTACATTCAAATTTCCCCATGCATCCCCAAAATTCTCTTCACATCTCTATGTCCAAACCAGGATCCAATCCAGGACTATGTGTTGCATCTATGTGACATGAAACTCAAATCTCTTTTAATTTGCAGCAGTCCTTTTCTAAAAAAAAAGTCTTTTAGAATCTACAACAGTCCTTGTTTTATATATATATATATTTTAGGAAGATTGGCCCTGAGCTAACATCTGTTGCCAATCTTCCTCTTTTTTTTTTTCTTTTTTCTCCCCAAAGCCCCAGTACACAGTTGTATATCCTAGTTGTAGGTCCTTCCAGTTCTTCTATGTGGGAGCCACCTCAGCATGGCTTCATGAGTGGTGAATAGGGCTGTGCCCAGGATCCGGACCAGAGAACCCCCGGCCGCCCAAGGGGAGCACAAACTTAAATGCTCCGCCACCAGGCAGGCCCCTACAACAGTCCTTGTTTCAATGACACTGATCTGAGCGCTTTGGCCAGTGTCTTGTAACACATCCCACCTTCCAGATTGGCCTTTTCCATCCTTGTGGTATTATTAGCTTAATCCTTAATGCCTGTGAACTGGAAGTTAAATCTAAAGGTGTGATTAGATTCAAATTAAACTTTTTTCTTTTTTAAACCAAACTGCATAACAGATAATGTTGGGTATTCATATTAAGATCACAGCAGGAGATATATAATGTCTGGTTGTCCCAGTCATTGGTAATTTCTTGTGTTACTTTGAGTCATAAAATTCTCCTTTAGAAGTGGGAGTAATTACATTTCTGGGCTTTTCTTTTATGGCTTTCAGAAATATCTAGATCTTCCTCTACCCAGAACTTAGAGTGATAAGTAAAATAGTGTATAGATTTGCATTTTTTTTCTACTGATACCATTATTTAAATGGGGGGGGGGATGGTCTTGGTGGTTACACAACTGTTTACACTTGTCAAAACTCATGGAACTGTACCCTGGAAAAGGGTGAATTTTACAGTATGCAAATTAAATAAACCTGACTTTACAAAATGGGCTTTAATCTTTTTCCATTGTTTTATTACATTTCATTTGTCACATAAAGCATTACTGTGTAAATTCAATGTTTTGCTCCTTGGTGATTTAAAATATGTATTGTAATAACTGACGCTTTCATGTTTTCATAGTTGGTACAGCAAGAGACTACTCACTGGCCTTCCCCACTTGCATCTTTTGACATATAAAATTTTTTAGTTTATGTATTAAGTTCGGTAAATGATTGTCTTAGGATTGTATGATTGGAGAGCATTTCCTACATTTTTCTGTCTCAGTAACCCAAAGTTTTTGTTTGTTTTTATCTTAACGTCTTCCACTACTGTTTTGTAATTTTTCCTATAGGTATGTGATATCCCTCCATTAAGATGGCTTCCAAAAAGCAATATTCTCGGTCATTTTTGAGAAAGGTAATTTCTCTTTCCCTTATTTTACTTTTTTTTGACATGGAAAAGATGTACATACTTAATGTACACAACTTGATGACTTTGGAGATGAGTATACACCAGTGAAACCATCATCACAATCAGTGCCATTGGCACATCCATCACCTCCAAAATTTTCCTCTCACCCTCTTTTTTGTACTTTTTTGTGATAAGAACAGTTAACACAAGATCTACTCTCTTAGCAGATTTTTAAGTACCCGATACCATATAGTATTGTTAACTATAGGCACTGTGGTGTAGAGTGGACCTCTTATTATTCATTTTGCATAACTGAATCTTTCTCTTATTTTAAAGGTGTCTATTCCTATCTCGTGGCGGTACTTAAAGGAGTGGATTTTCTTCACATCATATTTGCGTAACATTTTATAGTTTTATAACAGTATTTGGCTTTTGGTCTACAACAGCAGTTCCCAAACTTTTGGTCTTAAACATCTCTCTACTCTTAAAAATCACCGAGGACTCCAAAGAGCTTTTATATGAGTTATAACTATCAATAGTTACTCAACTAGAAATTAAAATTGAGCTTTTTTTAAACCACTGGAATATACAAGCACACATTCCATTAGCCATCATTGCAATGGCGTCAACACACGTCATGCGATCACTGGAAAACACTACATTAGGGAGCGAATGAGTGAAAGGGGCAAGTAATTTCTTAGTATGGTTAGAAAAACAGTTTTGATATTAGTGGACACCGCACCCCCTTTCCACTCCAGAAGTCCCAGGATCACACTTTGAGAACTGCTGTCCGTCCCAAGTCTTTGTCCCTTACAGTTAGTGCCTCTCGGTGCTGCCCGGCCCCCCAGCAAGGAGCCGGGAATCGGCACCCAACAGGAAAAAGACCTGACAGCCGACTCTACAGCCACACTGCTCCCGGAAGCCAAAGCTGCGCGCGCACCGCGGGCCTCCGACTTCCCGGCGTGCCCCGGGCTTGCGGCGTAAATGCACGTAGGCCGTAGCGACCCATGTGACCTGCGGGGCAGCCGAGGCGGGAATCTGTGAGTGGGCACGGTCGCGGGGTCCTTCGGCCTGTGTTCTCTGTTTCCCCGGGGCAGCCCCGGCTCACTCCCCACCCCCAGTCTCGCCCACCAGCCGGGAAGGAAGCCAGTGTGGGAGGAAGGGTTCCAGCCCGAGCCTTCGCTCCCACCGGGAGCCTCCCGACCCGGAACTCGCGAGTCTTCAGGCCCCGCGCTTGCCGTGCTCCATCCTAACTGCTAAACCTTGCTGGGCCCCGGGCTCTAGGCCTCTGGTGTTGAGAAAAGAAACATTTGCAAACATGTCCCGGATCGAAAAGATGAGCATTCTGGGCGTGCGGAGTTTTGGAATAGAGGACAAAGATAAGCAAATTATCACTTTCTTCAGCCCCCTCACAATTTTGGTTGGACCCAATGGGGCGGGGAAGACGGTAAGTCCTGAGTAGCCGCCTTCCGTTTACGGGTCGCCACATCTAACGAATCTGGAAAATAAAATATCTGGAGAGGTCAGAACTCCCGTTAGGAGGAGAGGCGTCCCTCTGGTTCTGCTCTTGGGGCCCAGGAAGTGCCTGGGCCAACGGGAGACTCCGGGGCTCTCGCGGCGTGGCCTGATTTGGCTTTCAAAGCCACAGCGACCGTAGGAGTTTTCTAGACCCAGTCTCATACGGGTGTCCAGGCCTGTCCAGTGGACAGGATTTGGTTGAGACCGGGAGCTATCGCCGCGCCCGCTCAGCGAGCTCACAGTTCTCCAGGAAACCTTTTTGTCTGTGTTGCTGGTTTTTAACACTCCTTGCTCCCAAAGTATAGCACTTCCTGGTAGTTGTCCCAATACAGGACTTTCTTAAGTAGTTATAAAATATGATAAATATGTGACTGCCTAAGAAAAGTTTCTAAGTATGCCGACTGTCTAAGCGTAATAGATGGGAAATAAATGGCTTAATTTTAAAATGAAACTGATGCGGTAGGGCTTAAATTGGAACACTGTATTTTGTTGTTAGGATGCTGTCACCTCATCAAAATAAAAGATTGGAACACAACTTATAATTGACTTTTTAAAGCCCTGGGAACATTTAGAAATTTGAGTTGGGCCCTGGAATGGCATGCAGTTACGGCAAAAGTATAGTCAAGAGGATGTCTGGTCTGAAACGGTTCCTTGAGAAAAAGCAAGGCGCTATCAGTGTACCAGGGAGTAGAGTGAATGAAGCATCCAGAAAGAGATTAGGTTTAGTGTTGAGAGTTGAATGCCAGACTCCTGTCTAAGTACTTTTGTTTATGTAAAAATGTTATTTATTGAGTGCCTGTTATGTACCTAGCATTGTATTCAGTGCTCTACTGGAAGGGAGATTAGTGCTTATGAGTACTAGCTGCCTGAATACAAATTTTTTGTGTGTGTGTGAGGAAGACCAGCCCTGAGCTAACATCTGCCAATCCTCCTCTATTTGCTGAGGAAGACTGGCCCTGGGCCAACATCCTAGCCCATCTTCCTCTACTTTATATGGGACGCTGCCACAGCATGGCTTGACAAGCGGTGCATTGGTGCGCGCCCGGGGTTCCGAACCTGCAAACCCCAGGCTGCCACAGCGGAGTGCGCTCACTTAACCGCTTGCGCCAGTGGGCCGGCCCCTGAATACAAATTTTTTGCTTCACCATTTATTAGCTGTGTAACTGAACAAGAGCGACCTAAATGCTCTATGCCTTAGTTTTCTCATTTATAAAACGGAGATAAAAATAGTTTCTACAGCCTGGGATGAACTGAGAATTAAATGGTTGTGTATGTAAAAGTGGTTAGTACAATACCTGGCATATAGTTTCTGGGTAACTATTAGCCATTGGGTTTTGGTTTGTTTTTTTCTTTACTTTTTTAAAAATTTCAGCTTTATTGAGGTATAATTGACATATAAAATTGTAAGATATTTAAAGTATACATCGTGTGATATACGTATACATTGTGAAATGATTCCCCCATCTAGTTAATTAACACATCCATCACCTCACATATTTATCTTTTTTTTTTGCTGAGAACATTTAAGTTCTACTTTCAGCAAGTTTCAGTTATACAGTACAGTGTTATCAACTATGGTTGCTGTTTTACATTAGCCAGCCATTGTTATTAGGTTAGTTTAAAGGGTTGTAGTTGGAAGTGGAGAATTTTTTTAACACTTAATCATAACTACATTACAGGTTTTGTAATGTCACATTTTATCTGTGTCTTTTATAGTCTCTATGGTAAATAATATTTTTATAATGAATTAACATTTTATGATAAACTTCTGTGGTTTTCTCGTAACTAAATAATATAATTTTCTATTTCTTTAGACCATCATTGAATGTCTAAAATATATTTGCACTGGAGATTTCCCTCCTGGAACCAAAGGAAATACATTTGTTCATGATCCCAAGGTAATGGTGCTAGTAAAATTTTGTATTTTTAAAATAAAATTTTTAAAATTATGAAAGTGATAATAGCTTATTGTAGAAAACCTGGCAATGGAAAAGTATAAAGAAATATGAAAATCTTAGCACCCAGTGACAACCAATGTAGACTTTTTCATGTATTTTCTTCTCCTTTACATACTGTCTTACATAGCTGAAGTCATTCTAATTTTGTATTCTGAGAGTTTTTTCCACTTAACATTATCATAAAGTCCCATGCCATTAAAATTAAATTCTTAATCTGGGTGTTTGGTATGTGGGTGCTTCTTTTAATCTTTATAGTTTTTTGTATGTCTGAAATATTTCCTACTTAAAATATATAATCTTTTATGAACATTTTTAATAATTGCATAATTTTCTTACATTTAGATTGCTTTTAGTTTTTCATTAAAATCTATCATGTTTTTCATTATTATGTACCATGGTACATTAAAATGTACTGTGATGAAAGTCTTTGTGTATGAATCTTTGTTTGAATTATGGTGTTTATACTATTAATGTGTGTGAAGTACGTAGAATGTTCTATACATATTTTGGCCTATAGGTTTTTCTTGTTCCATATATCTATAGTGGGGTCATTTGCCTTTCATAATTCAATACCCTCCCAGCCCCCACTTAAGAGTTCATTGTATATTTCTTCCAGTTTTTTTCCTGTGTTTATAAAAACGTATCTGTGTGTGGATATAAATACTCTCAAATAAATATTTTAACACATCAATAGAATTTTATACCATTTTACAAATCAAGTATTTATTTAGTGACATACTGTAGGTATGTTAATACATATATTTACACTTTTATTTCATTATTTTTAATTACTAGATGGTATTCCTTTGAGTTTATATTCTGTAGTTTATCTGACTCCCTGTTGATGGTCATTTAAGTTGTTTCTACTTTTATGTGACTAAATATAACTCTGTGATTATGAAAGTGTTTATTAATCTTCCTCTTAGAAAGAGTAAAATCATTTAGTATGTTTACTGAGCCCTGTCTACAATGACTATTTCACACCTTCTGTCTCCTTAAACCTGTGATCTAACTCTCTTTAATTGACGATCTTGCCTTGTACTTTATTGAGAAAATAGGAGGAATCAGATGAAAAGTCCCTCATTTTCCAATCATAAAATCTACCAAACTACCCTGCATATGTACCTATACTATCTGTTTTGTCTCCTGTATTAAGGGTACATTGTTTATTGTATCATCTAAAGGTCAACCAACTCCTCTTGGAGGCTGGATCCAGTCAGTCGCTTTTGTCAGCTCAAGCATTTTGCTTTTCATTTGGTTCTTCTTGCTCCTGCATTAGCAGTTTCTCTCTCTATAGAATCATTCACATAAGCATATAAAGATGCTCTAGTAGCTCCAATCTACAGACAAACAAACAAAAAACTCTCCTTTTACTCCATATCACCCTCTGGCTACTACCTCTTGGTTCCAGTTTATAGCAAAATTCACGAGAGTTATATGTACTCATTGTCTTCACTTCATTGCTTCCCATTTTTTCCTCAGCCTACTCTGTTCAGATTTTCTTTTTTTTCCTCATTAAAACGGTCCTTGCAAGGTCACCAGTAATCTCCATGTTGCTAGATAAAGTGGTCATTTTCTAATTCTCAGTTACTTCTCACCAGATTTGATATAGTTAGTTATTCCCTTTTTAAAAAACATTGCTCCCTTGGCTTCCATGACACTGTAATCTCATACCTCCTTTTTCACTGGCCACACCTTAGTCTCCTTTGCTGAGTCTACTTTTGTCCAACTTTTCTTGAATAATCTCATTGAGTCTCATGGCTTTAATTACTGGTTATATGTTGATGACTCCCAAATTTGTATATTTAACCCTAACTTCTTTGCTAAACTCTAGACATATATGTCCAGCTGTTTGGATATTTAATGGCATCTCAAATTTAACATGTTCAAAACAGAACTCTTGGTTCCCTGTGCCTCCAACCGTCTCACATTCTCAAGCCTGTTAACTACTTCAGTACTCTCCAACTTAATAAATGATATCATCATCCAAACATTTGCTTATGCCAGAACATCCTTTGATTGATTCTTTCATCTCACCCTGTTTCTAATTCTTAAGTAATTCTTAGCTACTCTTCTAAAATATGTCCAGAATTTGTCCCTTCATTCCATCTTCACTGCTCTTTTCCTGGTCCAAGCCACCGCCCTCTTCCCTTTGAACTGTTCTGGTAGTCACTAAAAGTTCTCTCTTTTTCACACAGCAGCCAGAGTTATCTTTTAAATATTCATTCATTCAAGAAGGAGTGAGTCATTCAAAATCTGGGGGAAGAACATTCCAGCCAGTATTAGTACTAAATGCAAAGTTCCTGAGGTAGGATGATGCTGGGTGTGTTCAAAGAACCACAAGGAGGAGCAAAATAGCAGGGAGAAGACTGGTAGAAAATTAAGTCTGAGAGATAGAATGGACTAGATCCTGTAGGACCTTGGGTGGTATTCTTATTTAAATAAGAATCTATTGGAAGAGTTTAAGCAGGAAAAGGGCATGATCTGTATTTTAAGGCGATCACTCTGGCTGCTGAG